GATCTCATGATGATCTTACTTCTCAACTCAATCAGCTCATCGAATAGTTGTCTTTCCTCTCACTCCATGTGCATATTTCAGTTGCTGGTTTGATCACTGCGGGTAATTTTGCACATGTGATAGCTCAATAAGTTTCACCATCTTGGATTTTTAATTCAGGAGTTAGTGCCCTCAAATATGGTATTTCTTCTTTGTTTTTCAACATTCGTTTTGCAAACTCTCGTAAGGTGTTAGCTGATGACTCTTTTAGACCAATACATAGGACTGGTGAGCTCTATCCCATTGAATCAATGTTGTTAATATTTGGTTGATTTGCCATTCAGTTTTCATTTAACCTGTTATCTGTGAGTCAATTAACCAAGTTATTACATTGTTCAGTGACATTTTCTCTATCTTCTTGTGTTTTTCAAGATCTCTAAATGAAAAAGGTGATTAATTTGGGGTATTAGTAGATTGGGCTTTATTTTAATTCCAGAGCTGTCTTTCTTGCCCTGAGTGCTACCATGTCTCCCTTCCGGTGGTAATTTTGATTGGGTCATCTTTCACTACAAAAACTTTGTCACATCATCCCTAGTATGAGTTCTTTTGTTATGTTAGAATAGAGGTTTGTCAATTAGGCAAGCATTACTTTAATTCTTTCCTTCTAGTAGTACGAGTCGTTAGTCTAGTCTTTTTGCTATTGTTCACTCTGACATTTTGGTTCTCCAAGAATAAAAAGTGTTTCTAGATTTTATTATTTTGCAATTTTTGTTGATGATTATTCTTGTATGACTTTGTTGTTTCTTATCAAGGATTGTTCTGAATTGCCTAAATTGTTTTTTACCTTTACAATGAAATTCTTTTATAGTTTTATAAACATATTAAAATATTTTGTTTGATAATGCCCTTAAGTATATACAACTTTTATGTGTACATTTTGTGTTGATTATTGTATTATTTATCAGACACGTCCACATACATCCCGATAAAATGGTGTTGCTCGATAAAATGGTGTTGCAGAATGCAAGTCATTTATTGGATGTTGTTCATCCTCTTATGTTTAACCTGCACGTACCCAAGTCTTATTAGGCAGACGTTCTTATTGCACGGTCTATCTTATTAATCGGATGCACTACTCATCTTAGGTTACAAGTCTCTATTTTTGTTGCTCCATCTTGATATTTACCCTTTAGCCCAACTCCTCGTGTCTTTGGTTGTATTGAATATATTCACCTTCTTGGTCCGGATTGGGATAAACTTTCACTTCACATAGTTAAGTGTTTTTTCAGGAAACTATCGTACTCAGAAAGGTTATCGTTGTTATGATTTTGCTTCTCGTCAATACTATGTCAATGCTGATGTCACATTTTTTGAGTCTTCTTCCTTTTTTTCTGCTGTAGAAACTACTATTTTCCTAGATTTAATTTTCATTAGTCAAGGAAGCTCATGTTGTCTTTTGTATACGATTTTGTGTCTTCTCCCACTCTGGCTCCTGAACCTTGCAGGTTTTCTGCCATTTTCACAAACAGACAAGTTGTTCTATATGCTTCAGCTCTCTGACCAATGCCTCCCTCCTCTTGATCTGTCTAATGTATCACTCTCTTTTGATTTGCCTATTGTATTGTGGAAAGGTACTCGTACTTGTACCCAACATCTCATTTCTAATTTTGCAAGTTTGTATCCTTGCATGGCTTTCCTCACTCTTTGGTTTTTTTTGCATAAATCTTGTCTTCTGTATTTGATCCTAGCTTTTCAAAATAGGCATTAATATCTCGTGGATGAAAATTAGCTATAGATAAGGAAATTAAGGCACTTCATGACAATCATACTTGGGATCTCACTTTTCGTCAGTTTGGTAAGCAGCTTGTTAGTTGTTGCTGAGTCTACACTATTAAATATCATGCTGATAGTCTGGTTGAGCATTTGAAGGCAAGGTTGGATGCTAAGGGCTATACCCAAACATATGGTGTGGATTACTGTGAAACGTTCCCTCCTATTGCTCATCTTTACTTTGTGAGAGTTCTTATTTCTGTTGCGTTTAGTCTTGACTAGCCCTTATATTAACTAGACATAAATAATGCCTTTTTAAACAGAGATCTACAGGAGGGGTTGTATATGATTCAGCCATCAGGTTATGCTGTTTCAAGCGAGGAACAATTAGTGCGTCATTTGAAGGAAGCATCGTATGAGTTGAAATAGTTACACCACGTGTTTGGTTTGATAAGTTCAATACCGTGGTATTTTAGTTTGGTTGTCAGCACTTTGCCTCAAATTATTCAGTTTTCAGCGTTGTACCAAGAGCCTTCAAATTTTGAAGAATCAATTTCAAACACGGATCATACATTTTTAATGTATAACAATGGCGAAGGGGGATTTGGACCATGGTTTTCTAGGTAATCTCAAATGGCATTTTGCCACTGGGATAAAATCAAGCTTCGAATATAGGTCGAACAATGGAACCCAAATTATTCAACAGTCCAAAAACAAGTTTCTTTTTGCTAAATTAACTCTACTAATTCACATATGCACACAAAATTTAGTGGAAGTTCCAGAGTCAAACAAACACTAACAAATCTAACAACAAACAAATTAAACAATTCCAACACATTTATATGTATAACCCATGTATATGTTTGTTTATATGAAGACTCAAAGATAAAGAGACTCGAAGATGAGAGATGATAGATGAGAGGCGAGATGCCAACATGAGAGATGTGAGGTGAGAGGCGAGATGTAGTGATGCAATTCAATCTGATCCGTTGAGCATAAATGGAGGTTCTATGACTCGGGCAAAAGTGAATGGGATGAAGGAAGCATTGAATGAGCTGATTCAAGACATATGGATTGATTACAAGTTCAAGCATGGAGGGTGCATTTGGAGGCTTTTCTACCATGGCATGCATGGGCTTTAAGGGGAAAAGGCCTTAAGTTTATTTTTAATGTAATTCAAGTCCAACAAACCTGATTAAGTGGCTGTATGGGCTGATTTAGGTTATTTAGGGATTTTAGGCTGATTACTTATTTTAAACCCAACTTTAGTTATTTTTATTTGGGTTTGGATTGTCAAAATATAAACTCCTATTAGGATTTGTCTCCTTAACAGATTAAGATTTGTTTCCTTTTCTTATTTAGATTAAGACAACTTAGCTAAAAAGTAGGAATTAGGTTGTTTGCTGGTTTTGGCGTGTTTCAGGGCATTATATACACACATAAGACCTCGTAAAATATAGAATATCATTTTTATGAGTATTGTGAGGTATTCTACTTCCAAGAACTATTTCAAGAACTTATCAAGAATCAATCTTTCTTGTGGCGTTCATTGACTTATCGCTCAATCTTGAGTGTGGCGTCTTTTTTGAAACTTTTAACCCTGGGTTCTTGTTTCGTGAAAACATTAGGTTTAGGGTTCTTGGTTCTTGTAATCTGATTTGTGAACTTTCTTGGGGATTCTTTATTCAATTTGCGTGTGGGTTCTTGAATTCATTTAAGAGTTCGCATCAATTTGGTATCAGAGTTCTCGGGTTTGTTTTCTCAAATTAGGTTGGTTATCTTTGTTTTATGTGCATATAATTTGACCAAGTTAGGATTTCTTGCTGCTATTTAGTGTTTTTTCTTTTGTGTTTATGCACATCTATTTTAACCAAAAAAAAAAAAAATTAGGATTTTTATCTTTCTTTTCTTGTTGCGTATTATTCTGTGATTTGGGGCGTGTCTTGCAGCTGGAGTTTCAGTTGTGTTTTTTTTATATAATTTTAATATCAATTAGGGTTGCTTAATATTGGCAGAATTAAATACATAACTTGCTTGTGAATCGGTTGTGAAATTTACTGCCCAATTGCGCGTATTTTGCCACTTTTGTGATCTGATATCAAAACAAAAAAAAAAAAAAGAATGAAAGAATCGAATTGAGGCTAATCAGTTTGCTTTATGGCTGATTTGTGTTGAGATTTGAAAAGAAGTAATCAAAATTACTTATCCCCAAATGATTACTTGTTTTAAGCCCAACTGTAGTTATTTCTATTTGAGTTTGGATTGTCAAAATATAAAATCCTATTAGGATTAGTCTACTTAGCAGATTAGGATTTGTTTCATTTTCTTATTTGGATTAAGATAACTTAGCTAAAAAGTAGGAATTAGGTTGTTGGCTGGTTTTGGCGTTTAAGGGCATTATATACACACATAAGAGCTTGTAAAATATAGAATATCATTTTTATGAGTATTGGGAGGTTTTCTACCTTATTGTTCTTCCAAGAACTTATCAAGAATCAATTTTTTTTGTGGCATTAATTGACTTATCGCTCAATCTTGAGTGTGACATCTTTTCTTGAACTTTTAACCTTGGGTTCTAGTTTCCTTAAAACATTGGGTTTAGGGTTCTTGATTCTTATAATCTGATTTGTGAACTTTCTTGGAGATTCTTTATTCAATTTGTGTGTGGGTTCTTGAATTCGTTTAAGGGTTTGCATCATGCAGACATGAGAGGTAGGACGTGAGAAGGGTAGAGACTAGGATGAAATTGTAGATGAATTAGGGTTGGTTTTATTCCTTTATACCTGTATATAAGTTGGTTATATTCAGGTTTATTTGAGTTCTTGTCAACCTAATTTTGAGGCAATCACCTGTTTTTGGTTTGTTTTAATTGGGTTGCTTACTAACAAGTTTAGGCCCAACACTAGCCCACTAATACCATCTTATGTTCTAGTTGTGATAATGGGCTGTGTTGGAAATTTTTAACCCTTACTAGGCACCTAGTTAAGTGTAAAAACAAGACAATCTTAAATCTTGACTCTCCAATTTTTTCTCCCTGGAATATGATATGTTATCTCACAGATTTTTTCTGATATAACCGACTTTGTGATGGTGTTGGTTTGCGTATTGATGATGTTAGGACATTTGTTTTTGTGAAATCTATATTTTTTTGGCAACAGAATGATCATTTCCATTGCAGCATGGTGCATTTACCAATAGTGCTTTAACTTTTGTTTAAACCAGACCTATCTAATTCAACACTTCATATGTGAATGCAGCGGCATCTTCTAAATTTTGTTGAGAAGGCGTTCATAGAAGATGTAATCCCAATCCTTGTGGTATCCTTTCACTGCCAGCTAAACCAGCTTCTCTCAAGTTGTGTTGAGAGAGTGGCAAGATCAGATCTAGACTGTACATCTCTACAGAAAGAGCTCCCTCATGAAGTTTTAAGTGATGTAGAATTGCTTCGCCTCAAATCTCAGCAAGCGATTGAAGTTGGTACACAGGAAGAGGACTCCGTAAATGAAAAGAGTATTAGGAGAATCCACAAGGCCTTGGACTCTGACGATGTTGAATTGGTGAAGTTACTTCTAAGTGAATCTGGTACAACCTTAGATTTTTCTTATGCTCTCCACTATGCAGCTGCCTACTGTGATCCGAAGGTTGTGAGTGAGGTGCTCAATCTGGGTTTGGCTGATATTAATCTTAAGAACCGCCGAGGATACACTGTGCTTCATGTGGCTGCTAGACGTAAGGACCCGTCAGTGATAGTGGGGCTGCTGAACAAGGGAGCTTCCGTATTAGATACTACATTGGATGGACAAACAGCAGTCACAATCTGTCGAAGATTGACGAGGCCAAAGGATTATAATGAGACAACGAAGCAGGGGCAGGAAACTAATAAAGACCGTTTATGCATTGATGTGTTGGAGCGAGAGATGCGTAGGAATCCTTTAGCTGGGAACATTTCGATAACATCCACAGTGGTGGCTGATGATTTACTCATGATGCTGTATCTCCTTGAAAATAGAGGTGATGCATATGGAATTCAAATGATTTTCCACTTGTTTAAATTTAGCAGTTCATACCTTTGGATCAAGGGTGATGCATGTGTTAACCAAAACTTATTTTAATGGGCAACAATTTCGTCATATCACTTCTGGATAACCTTGCACAGGGAAGCAGCTATTTTTCTTTGACGGTGGTTTGCCCCAAAGAAAAAGAAGCTACATAGCTCTGTAGATGACTTGTCTATCTTGAAAGTATGAGTGCAAGGAAATTTCACCGGACATTTAATAAACTTGTTTATCGCAAGATGTCAGGACTTGAGATTCTTTTTCTGATTTTAAGCATATCTGGTCCTCATACATTCTTGATTAGCTTGTTTTAAGGTTTTTTCTTCCTGGCTACAATTTGCTTTTTTAGTTTTAAAGGTGTCAGCTATTTGTATAATGAACAGGGAAGAGTGGGCCATTTTACTCTTCCTCAATTTGTCAAGGCATAAATCTGGGCCATTTCTTAGAATTCTATGGTGATGCAGGTGCTTGTGAAATGACTAACGGGCTTTGGTCCAATGGTACACTTTGTCTTCTTGAGGTCAAGGGTTTAAATCCTCCCCCAATAAAAAAAAAAAAAAGAAGCTTGTGATACGGAAAAAAACTAATCATTGCGCATTTTCTCCTCTCTACATCGTATGTTAAATTTCTTTTGATTAGGTCAAATATAGTTGCAGGGTTGGTCATATTACATGACAGTATCATCTGGTGGGCCAACATTTTCTCTGTATTATGTAAATTGTTTTGAATGGAACTGGTTTTTAGAACTTATATTGCTAAGTTCACTTGAGAGGCACTAGCTCTGATACTATGTTTTATGTTTAGAAGCTGAGAAATTCTGTTTCTGTGAGAAAATGTCTTCAATTTTTTCTTTTTTGATGGAAGATATGTGCACCAATTTTTGTTGAGAAGCTTTATTTTCTGAGTGATATCTATGTGATTCAATCAAATAGATCAACCTGGTAGGGCCCACTGACTAAAGGGGATCTGTTATGTGTGAAAATGTTCAACATGGAGACTCTTGCCATTTTTTAATAAATTCTGCTTCTTTTTCCATAAACTAAGCCCTAGCTGTTTTTACTTTATTTTCTTTTTTACTTTCCATAAGTGATGTAACTTTAAACAAAATTTCTGCATGCATGCTAAACAGTTTTATTCTTTGTGATAGTGGCAATTGCCCGGATGCTATTTCCTAGAGAAGCCAGGCTGGCCATGGAGATAGCACATGCTGATTCAACTTCAGAGTTTGCTGGCCTTTCAGCATCAAAAGGCTCATGTGGGAAATTGAGGGAGGTTGATTTGAATGAAATACCAGCTGAACAGGCCAAAAGATTCCAGTCAAGATTACAAGCCCTGCAAAAAACAGGTAACTTGAATGTCCTCAGTAGTTTCAGAAAATTCAGATGTTTTGTATGGACTTTTGAGCTCAGTGCGATATCCTGTTGATTAATAACATTTCCTTTCAATATCTCTTTGATTTTAATTACATAAAAAAAGATGTGCCAAAAACTGGGACATTAAGTTGTACAACAACTCACCTCAATTCATTAAAAACCTTAATCCAATTAACATTCATATTATTGAATGCAATTACGACATTCTGATACTAGTGGCAAGCCATGCTACCCGGGTTCTAGAATGTGGAAGGGTTCATCTTTGGGCTCATCTCCTGAATGTTGTGTTTTCTTGATGGCAGTGGAGACTGGCCGGCGTTTCTTCCCCAATTGCTCAGAAGTTCTGGATAAGTTTCTGGAGGATGATATGCATGACACTTTGTTCCTGGAAAAGGGCACTACAGAGGAACGCCGAATCAAGAAGATGCGCTACATGGAACTTAAGGAAGATGTGATGAAGGCATTTGATAAAGACAAAGCTGAAAATAATTGGGCAGGTTTCACATCATCATCCTCTTCCTCATCTTCTCCAAAAGGGAGTGTAAATAACAAGGTTAGGAAAAGATAGACTGTATGTTAAATTTGTTTGTCCTTTTTGTCTTTTTATAGCAGGTCTAAGCAGTGTACTGAGCTTTTGAGAATTGCGTTCATATAATGTACTGGTAGCCTTTTTATATGCTCTTTGGGATTTTGCACTGTAAAATATCATTTGAGTTAGGTAGTTGTAAAATGGCATCGGAATTTCAATCTGTAGAAGTAAGTGGGATATGATTGTTCAGTATGTTTAGAGCAGGACTGATCCTTCTTGATGTATGCTATCACCCACAAATTTAGGTTAGTGAGCGCAGAGGCCTTTGACACTCAATCCTATGACTAAACAAACCTGCAAGTTCAATGTTTTTCTTCTGTGTTTCTTTTAATTTATTGTGGTGCATGGATTTTCTTTTATCTTTTCATTAATTCTTTTATTCTTTTTTTCCCTATGAAGGATTGTGGATTTCAATCATAAAGATTTATTATATAATCTATACCAAATTATACTTTTGCAGGTTGAAAGAAAGAACTTGCTGTTTTTTTTTCTTTAAAAATTATATCTGATGGTGTATTTCAACGTGATGCAATTTTGTGATGAAGAATAAATGAAAGAAACAATATTGGAATTATTGAGATCTGAGCTACTAGACTCGAGGGAATGATACTGAGAATTGTTGGGGAGTTGGGGAATTAGCACAGTAAAAATATAGTGGTTCACCAGATCGGGAGCTCGACTAATCCACTCTTCAATGAAGATTTTTACTCATTTCTTCACTATTTACTATACCAAAAGGTTTACAGAATGTAAGATGTGATATTAGGGTTCTGCCCCTCTGTTAGGGGCGTTACATAGTATTTATAGGGTTTTTTCTAATTCTGCGGGATCTGCCCTGAGATTTTCGTCATTTATCCGAGAAATCCTCCTTGATCTTAGGAGGAGATCTTTCCTGGATGAGAGTTTTATGCTTTGATTATGACTCTTTGCTGCCTCTAGGGTTTCTGTTGACAAATAGCTATCTCTTAATTACTTCCACTGCTGCTTCGATTGGGTTGGGCTTTACTCTTGTTTTATGAGCTTTGTGCGTCTGACCTCCGCTCCCGAGCTCATACTTAGGAATTACTCAGTATCATCAGTTGTCCCCCAACTCTTGGTCAAGCTGGCTTGGGCAAGGGCTGAGCTTAAGATGTAGCAGAATGGTTTTCCAATCAGCGACTTTGAAGTTTGTACGAAATTTTTTTTTTTGCATGTAGGTGCTCCTGACCTGAACCTGCTTGAATTGATGAGGGTGGAACAAATGACTCAAGTTGAGCTTATGTCTTTTCCTGATCTCATGACGCCAGATAATCTGTTCTTGTTTAGCGCCGCTGCAGCTCAACGAGACTTTACCTTTTTTTTCCTGAATTTGATCTCTCTTCTACCGGGTCTGATTAGAGCGAGGATGCTGGAACTCATATCAAGAAATGCAAGAGGGATGATTCAACCTTTCCTTCATCCAGATCTTTCTTGGGGGAAGTTCTGTTTTCCTCTGTTGGGCAAAAATTGATGGATCTATTGTCAGCGACTGAGAAGGAGAGAGATGAGCTGAAGGAGGAGAACCTGCGTTTGAAAGAGAGAATAGCCGAACTGCAGAGACGACTAGGAATTTTGCTTTGATTGATTTTTTTGTAATCTTTAATGTTCTTGAAACCTTGATTTTCCCTTTCCATGTTTGCCGGTTCTTATACACAATTTGTGGCTTTGAGAATCTGGCAGCTGATTTTCCATGTTATTTCTAGGCTTGTGGACCAAAGACCCCCATTTTTCCTTTTTGTAATAGATAGAAGCTGTGAAGTTTTCCTTATAGTCTACGTGCTGTAGGTCTTGCTTTTAGTTCTTCTGGACCGGGAAGCGCATTCTGAGCTGCTGCGTTTGCTTTAGGGACAGAAGAACTCGTCCTGAGCTACTGAGCTATTTTTATGGACTGATAAGTTCAACGTGAGCTCCAGGGCTCTTTTTTATGAACTAACGAGTTTATCGTGAGCTCTAAGGCTCTTATTAAGGACTAACGAGTTCGCCGTGAGCTCCAGGGCTTTTTTTATGAACTAACGAGTTCGCCGTGAGCTCCAAGACTCTTTTTATGAACTAACGAGTTCGTCGTGAGCTTTAAGACTCTTTTTATGAACTAACAAGTTCGTCGTGAGCTACATAGCTCTTTTTATGACCTAACAAGTTCATTGTGAGCTCTAAGGCTCTTATTATAGACTAATCAGTTCGTCGTGAGCTTCATAACTCTTTTTATGAACTAACGAGTTCATCGTGAGTTCTAGGGTTCTTTTTATGAACTAATGAGTTCACCGTGAGCTCTAAGGCTCTTATTACAGACTAATGAGTTCGTCGTGACCTCCAAAGCTCTTATTACGAACTAAGAAATTCATCGTGAGCTCCACGACTCTTTTTATGAACTAAGAAGTTCATCGTGAGCTCCAGGTCTCTTTTTATGAACTAACGAGTTCATCGTGAGCTCTAATGCTCTTATTACGGACTAATGAGTTTGTCGTGAGCTCCCGGGCTCTTTTTATGAACTAACGAGTTCATCGTGAGCTCTAAGACTCTTATTACGGACTAATGAGTTTGTCGTGAGCTCTCGGGCTCTTCGTAAGAGTGAATGAACCACAAACTTGCTGTTTTATTAATAATCATATTACAGGACAAATTTACTGAAAAAATTTTCTAAGATGTTTTGCATTCTAGGAGTGGGTAAAATTTTCGCCGGGTCTGTTTTCATCCGGGGTGGCCACTTGAAGAATTTTTTGTTCTATACCTCATACAAGATTTGCGATATTGTTGCGGTGAGTGGAGGGACCTGCCGAGGTGCGTACCTCGACTGCAACTCTGGATGAGGTGGTCCCAAGCGATCTCTAACGTCTCCTCTTCTTTTGGGGGATCGATCTCTGTCTCTCCTTGGGGACCTATCTCGTCCTCTTTCTCTTCTAGGACTTCGGTCCCTTTTTTTCTCTTCTTTCCCTTTGTCTTTTTGTATGGATGAGCTCCCCACTTTTGAGAAGAGAGCTTCTTCGCCGTTTATGTACTTTTCTGCCTTGGCCAATACTTCGGCCATGTTAGCCTGAGAAATTTTTGAAATAGAGAACATCAGGTCTTTAGATTGTACGCCTAAACCAGCTATGAATGCAGTAATGACAAATTTCTCGTTTGGGACATCCACTTTTAGTGATTCAGAGTTGAACCTCTGAACATAGGATCTGAGGTTCTCTTGGGGTCCCTGCTTCACATTCAACAGGTGGTAACTCGGCTTTATGTACGTTCGAGCTCCTATGAAGTGAGATACAAAGGATATGGATAGCTCCTTAAAGGAGGAAATTGAGGTAGGGGGGAGCCTATTGAATCACGCCAGGGCTGAGCCTTTCAGCGTGATGGCAAAGGCTCTGCAACTGTAACGACCCAAAACACACCCTAGATGACATTACATTCTAAAACCATTCATATTATGAGAGTACTAATATAATCCCTTAAGAAACAAGACTTTATTTGTTATCCACGAATATTTACAACATTATCCAAAAGAATAAGCCCAAGTTATGACTATTACATCTCAAAAATTAATTAAGGAAGCGCAGCGGAATAAACAAAAGAAGCTAAGACTACACAATGTTCCAAAAGAATATCCTACTCTGGTACAAAAGGAAAAGAGGTCGCTCTATGCGTCGACCTCGGGATCCACACTCCTGTCTCGTGGAGTCTCCCAAGTAACGGGCTCCTCGACCCTTACGTCCTCCTTCTCAAGCGGGTAATCTGAAAAATGTTAGNCAAGCGATCTCTAACGTCTCCTCTTCTTTTGGGGGATCGATCTCTGTCTCTCCTTGGGGACCTATCTCGTCCTCTTTCTCTTCTAGGACTTCGGTCCCTTTTTTTCTCTTCTTTCCCTTTGTCTTTTTGTATGGATGAGCTCCCCACTTTTGAGAAGAGAGCTTCTTCGCCGTTTATGTACTTTTCTGCCTTGGCCAATACTTCGGCCATGTTAGCCTGAGAAATTTTTGAAATAGAGAACATCAGGTCTTTAGATTGTACGCCTAAACCAGCTATGAATGCAGTAATGACAAATTTCTCGTTTGGGACATCCACTTTTAGTGATTCAGAGTTGAACCTCTGAACATAGGATCTGAGGTTCTCTTGGGGTCCCTGCTTCACATTCAACAGGTGGTANTAAACAATTCTTTCGGTAGGTGGCATACTTTGTGGTAACTTCCACCCCCCTTTTAGGTCACCTTTGATTCTCAAGCATCTTTATCGGGAACCTCTTGAAAATGGATGAACATCCTTACATGAAATCTCTCACCAATTACTACATTATTTCCCAAGCATCCTTATCGGGAACCTCTTGGGAAGTGGTGAGCATCCTTACAAGGAACCTCTCACTCATGTGCATCATAAACAACCTAACCAAGCATACAATTTCAACATTTATCTCAATTTACAAGCATCTATCCAAAATTTTCAAAATATATCATATAACAATTCAACAACTAACTAAGAAAATACATGAGATCACAATAACATCATTTTTCTACCCAACACAAAGCACTAAGGTTTTGAAATTCATAATAAAGAAAGCATTTAGGAAGAAAATACATCACTCTCCAAAAATTAGGGTTTTAAAACTAGAAAGGAGATTTCATGGGTATTAAACCCTACTTTGTTCAAAACATGTAATCCTTGCAAAAAGCCTAAGAGAGGATGATTCCATAGCATATATATATCATTGATAGCCAAAACATACATATATAAATACCCTAGCCTTAATGTAAGTGAATGAGAGAAAACCCCTATCTTGAATCCTTAGCTTTGGAGTGAAGAACAAGAATATTTGATCTTAAATCACATTTGAATTTCTTGTTTTTCCCTTCCTTTCTTCTTCTCTAATGCCCTCTAGGGTTTCAAGAGGTGTGGGGGTGTGAGGGGAGTGAAGGAAATGAGAACAAATGAGATGAAAATGAGTTTAAAACATAGCAGCCCCGAAAAATACTGTTCACAGGTTG